GGGGGTGTCCATGTGTGTGGCTGTTCTGAATGTGAAGGGGGTGTCCAGGTGTGAGGTTGTTCTGAATGTGAGGGGGGTGACCAGGAGTGGGGCTGTTCTGAATGTGAGGTGGGTGTCCAGGTGTGGGGCTGTTCTGAATGGAAGGGGGTGTCCAGGTGTGGGGCTGTTCTGAATGTGAGGGGGGTGTCCAGGTGTGTGGCTGTTCTGAATGTGAGGGGGGGATGTCCAGGTGTGTATCTAGCAGTGTGTGGCTTTCCCGGGGGCCAGAGGGGACCAGGCTGCCCAGGTACAGGTCAAGACCAGGAGCTGTGATAGCTGCTATGGGCTGTTCTACTCCAGTACAGATTTCCATTCACAAGTGCAGGGTGGATGTTTTCTGAGATCACTTCTTCTAAGTGCTGCAATGCATAAATTGAAGATTGTCCCTCACCACCTGCAATCACTGTAGCACAAGCAAATTTCTGAAGTCCCACTGAGACTCCTGATAGGCCGGAGCCTGTTTGTCTCTGGCAGCCTTGAATGCCGTGCCATAGGTTGCTGACCCCTGCTTAAGGGAATACAATCTCCCCGTGGAATTCATGTAAGAGTGCAACCAAAGGGTTGGATGGACTTACAACTTATGGAAACAGCCGGCTATGCTTGTTTGAGATAGTTTCCGAAGTCACATTGTGAAGCAATTTCTCGATGCAGATAAGAAAGACCAGGTAGTCATTCCTGGTGGCCTAACATCTATATTGCAGCCACTTGATGTATGTGTGAACAAACCTTTTAAAGACCACTTGCGTCATTTCTATAATGAGTGTACGATGAGCGGTGATCATCAATTGACGCCCGCTGGAAATATTAAGTGCCCGCCCTTGGAACTGATACGTACATTGGTAATTTAGAGTTGGGAACTTATACTACCCAACAGTCGTCAAAAGCTTCAAAAAGACGAGAATTTCAAATGCACTAGAATAGGTGGAACTGAAGATGACTGTAGAATATTGCATATTCTATGTTTCTGTTGATTATGTATGAATGTCTGCATTGACATAAGTAACAGATGGTATCAATAAGTCACAAGTCTTTCTTTGTATGAGAACTCTGGAATGTGGATTGGGGGTCTTGTCCTTATATGGTTAGTGTTATATTCTGACGTCAGTATGGGCACATCTATATAGTAACTGAACAAAGGGGACATGAGGTCTCTCTCGCTCGCTCTCGATGTAGCTATGTAACGATGTAACTCTCCCTTTAGGAGTCCAGCAATTACCATCTGCTGTTGAACATCCATTATCCTGTAACATCCTTTGTTGTTTTATTATGTATCAGTAACTAAGAATAAACCTGAAGAAACCATAAGTCAGATTGCGTATTAGTACTTTTCATTAATATAGATGTATATTAATGTAGCGAGCCTTTAACCCAAGACCATATATACAAAAGACGTATACATCAATCAAATTGAAAAAGACACAGAAGAAGAAACGAAGATTTATGATGCACTTTGGCAAAGTGATAATGAGGTAAACACACCTGGCATGAGTGGTGCTGAGGATGGCGCATCCGATAATGAAACCAGTGCAGAATCTTCGGACACAGAAAATTAGTACATTTTGTACACTGTTATACACTCAGACACATTACAGGGAGTATTATTACTGTGGAGCTCTGTTATACACTCAGACACATTACTGGGAGTATTATTGCTGTGGAGCTCTGTTATACACTCACACACACATTACTGGGAGTATTATTGCTGTGGAGCTCTGCTATACATTCAGACACATTACTGGGAGTATTATTGCCGTGGAGCTCTGTTATACACTCACACACACATTACTGGGAGTATTATTGCTGTGGAGCTCTGTTATACACTGAGACACATTACTGGGAGTATTATTGCTGTGGAGCTCTGTTATACACTCAGACACATTACTGGGAGTATTATTGCTGTGGAGCTCTGTTATACACTCAGACACATTACTGGGAGTATCATTGCTGTGGAGCTCTGTTATACACTCAGACACATTACTGGGAGTACTATTGCTGTGGGGCTCTGTTATACACTCAGACACATTACTGGGAGTACTATTGCTGTGGGGCTCTGTTATACACTCTGACACATTACTGGGAGTATTATTGCTGTGGAGCTCTGTTATACACTCAGACACATTACAGGGAGTATTATTGCTGTGGGGCTCTGTTATACACTCTGACACATTACTGGGAGTATTATTGCTGGGGAGCTCTGTTATACACTCAGTCACATTACTGGGAGTATTATTGCTGTGGAGCTCTGTTATATACTTAGACACAGTAACAATATGGGATTTGGACTGAAATAGGGACTGTCCCTTCTAAACAGGGACACTTGGGTGGTATGTTACTTCTGCAAAGATTACAAGTCCCCAGATCACAGAATGGGCACTGTACTAGATACATTAACCCCGAGCACCCAAAATCCAAAATATCTGCAATTTGGCTTCCAAACCAAGCGTCACAGAGCTCCACAGCAATGTGTAATGTGTAATTGTTTGATAGTATCACAGAGCTCCACAGCAATACAACTCACAGTTATGTATGATGTATATGAGTGTATCACAGAGCTCCACCGCAATATAACTTACAATAATGTGTATTGTGTGGAATCAATTGCATTATTGTGTGTGAGGTGCTATCCAGAGCACATTCTTTTAAACTCCTCTAAAAGAGTCAAAGCAAGGGTCGTTCCTCTTTAATTAACATCATTATCGTCCAAGAGACACATACATTATTATTAATATTCATTTGCAGTCTGAGCAATATATCAGCATTTATCGGGGAGCGATACAGCTTGCCCATTGTTCCACGTATTATTCCTAATCCTCCGATAGCTGGATTTAATTGTGAAGAATGAATTTCTTTGTGTGAAAAAGGTCAGTTCAGAGACCCCCCCCCAGCACCAAGGGGGCATGGAATGCATCTAGTAGTTGTTGCAATACATGTTAGTCATCCAGGCCAAGCTATGACGGGGTGAGAAGGCAAGTAGATTCCTGAAATTGGATCCCTGTCAGCAAGATGGCTGCACTGAAAGGGTTAATGCACAATTAGGGCCAGGCCTTGATGGGTTAATACAAACCCAGGGTTAATACATAATCAGGACCAGACTGAAAATGAGAAACTAGGTCAATCAGCACAGTAACACATGGGCTGTGTCTGTTTATATCCCATAATCAGGAGGGGAGCAAAGTTGGCATCCACAGGGTTAATTAATGACGTGAGGATTGCTGGGAATTTACAGTGAGCCACTGAGGTAAGCAGGGTCACCTCATCTCAGTGACATAGTCTGGGTGCACTGGCAGGACCGGGGCAAGGATTTTTGCCCCCCCATTCTTTCCACCCACTCATGCAGACTTACACCCTGTTCCAAATTATTATGCAAATTCTATGTAAGTGTCACAAAGATTAAATATTTTGTTTTTCAGTTTAACTCATGGATGGCATTGTCTATCAGAGCTCTTTTGATCACTGAAAACAATCTCGGACACCTGTGATAATTAGATTGCCAGGTGAGCCCTGTCATGAAACGCCTTTTGTCACCGGATTTTCCCCTGGCTGTTGGAGGAGCCTGATTGCCAGCCTCTTGCCTCATGACTATGGCCCTGGGTTATTTGGCCCTTCAAGTACAATGTTTGGGCATATTGGATTTGTATGGTGCTGCTGCTGGCCCTTTAAAAACCATCCCTGGACATATTATGACTTTTAGGAACAATGTCCCTTTAAGACTGTGTAGCAGATTGCATTCAGGCGGTCTGCAATATTATATATGCTATTATGTGTTCGGTAAATTGGAAATGTGTAGGTTCTATGTGATAAATGTAACAGTATGTATTTTTATGTCTTTTGTTGTCCTTTGTCTGCCATGTGGCTAATGGAGTTTTGCCTCTGTCCTTGGAGATAATTGCATTACTTCTCAATTATCTCCAGGATAGAAGACTCTGAAACCAGTTTGGGCCAGATAGCCATGCTGCCAGCCAGGCCCCAAAACATACTTGTGCTAACTTCTGAACCCCTGGTCTGATTCAGGCCATTTTTTAATATGTTGTTCCCCTGAATGGATTGATTATGAATATGTAGTTTTATGTGAATGTGATGTATAGTTTTAGAGTTATGAAAGTTGGGTAAAAAGTGTGTTTTAAAATGTATGGATAATTGGGTTACCTCTCAGGCTAAGGGGAGGGGATGTGTGGGATGTAACCATTGTGTGATTGGTTGTACTGTGTCCCACCCAGTGGGATGTCCCCTTGCATGGGGACCTGCATAAAAGAAGGTTCTGTGTGTGCCAATAAACAGATCATCTTGTATCTTCATGAAGTTTCGGCTCATGTTTGGGGGATTGGAGAAACTAAACTCTGGGGATTGCTATAATCACTATACTCCCCAGGGTATAATCACTAAGCTCTGCTAAGAGCTTGTTCCTGTTCCTGCTCTCTGGAATTCGGAGAGAGGTCGACCTGCTGGAAGCTGGACCCTGGTCCTGGGTCCAGAGTGGGTAGAGACGGCGAGATCCCAACCAAGCTGCGGCAGTTCGTGGGGTCTGCAGTGGTTATGGTGCCAGCAGAGTGCTTGGAGTTCTCGGAAAGCACTAGGAGCATCCGTCGGCGGAAGGTACCTGGTCGGGGTGCCAGCGGTTCCGTTACAAGCCCAATTTAAGGAAAAACTACTAAAGGAGGGTGTTCCACATTATTAAGCAGAGCACCATTTTCATGCAATATGGGGAAGAAAAAGGATCTCTCTGCTGCCAGAAAAGAGTGAAATAGTTCAATGCCTTGGACGAGGTATGAAAACATTAGATATTTCACGAAAACTTAAGCGTGATCATCGCACTATTAAGAGATTTGTGGCTGATTCAGAGCACAGACGGGTTCGTGCAGATAAAGGCACATTGAGGAAGATTTCTGCCAGATCCATGCATCGGATCAAGAGAGCAGCTGCTAAAATACCATTACATAGCAGCAAACAGATATTTGAAGCTGCTGGTGCCTCTGGAGTCCCACGGACATCAAGGTGTAGAGTCCTCCAGAGTCTTGCAACTGTGCATAAACCTTCTATTCGGCCACCACTAACCAATGCTCACAAGCAGAAACGGCTGCATTGGGCAGAAAAATACATGAAGACTAATTTTCAAACAGTCCTGTTCACTGATGAGTGCCGTGCAACCCTGGATGGTCCAGATGGATGGAGTAGTGCATGGTTGGTGGACGGCCACCCTGTTCTAACAAGGCAGTGGTGGAGTCATGTTTTGGTCCGGAATCATGGGAAGAGAGCTGGTCGGCCCCCAGAAGGTGTAAAGATGACCTCTGCAAAGTATGTGGAGTTTCTGACTGACCTCTTTCTTCCCTGGTACAGAAGGATGTACCAGGGAATAAAATCATCTTCATGCATGACAATGCACCATCGCATGCTGCACAAAATACCTCTGCATCAATGGCTGCTCTGGGGGGAAAAAAGGAGAGAATGTCATGGTGTGGCCTCCATCCTCCCCTGACCTCAATCCTATTGAGAACCTTTGGAGCATCCTCAAGCAAAAGCCCTATGAGGGTGGGAGGCAGTTTACATCCAAACAGCAGCTCTGGGAGGCTATTCTGACATCTTGCAAACAAATTCAAGCAGAAACTGTCCAAAAACTCACAAGTTCAATGGATGCAAGACTTGTGAAGCTGCTATCAAATAAGGGGTCCTATGTTAAAATGTAACGTGACCTGTTAAAATGTTTAAAAAGTTAAAATGTTGTTATAAGTTTGATTTGAAATAGCTTTTGATTTCAGTAAATATGCTGCAAAAACAACAAATGACTGTTACAGACTGCCATTTGTAACTGTTATTTTATTTGACAAATTGCCCTGCTTCCCTGTGTTATGGAGAAGCCTAATTGCCAGCCTTCTGCCCCATGACTATGGACCTAGTGTGTATGGCGATTTGACTGTATTTGTGGGATCTGAGCGCTGTTTGGATATATTGAGCGCTCAGATCCAAGCCATCTGGGGATAGGTTGAATGTGGGGGTTCTGTTCAGTATGATAGGAGTTATGCATTTTTGTGTCTTTTGCTAACATGTGGTTAATGGAGTCTGCCTCTATCCCTGGATAATTGGATTACTTTCCCCATTGTCCAGGATAGAGGGCTCTGTAAAACCGGTTTGGGCCAGATAACCATGCTGCCAGCCAGGCCCCAAAAGATACTTTTGCTAACTTTTGAACCCCTTGTCTGATTTGTGCCATTTTTTTTAAATATGTTGCTCCCCTGAATGGATTGATTCTAAATATGTAATTTGTATGAAGATTGGATGTATGGTTTTAAAGTTACAGGGTATGGGTAAAAACTGTCTTTTTTTTATTTTAATTTTTTTACTGTCTGTGATAATTATGTTAATCCCTTGTGTACCATAATTAGATCACAGGCAGAGGGGAGGATCTTTGTGTGTAATTGCTGGGAGTGTTTCTGTAATGTACGTTTATTATTGGTTGTTGTGTAAAACCCTGTGGGTGGTCCTATCTCAGGGAAACCTGCATAAAAGAAGGTTCTTTGTGTGCCAATAAACAGAATGACTTGACCCTCTAACTTGCAGCCTTGACTCATGTTTGTAGGGGACAGCTATAATCACTACAGGGATCACTATCCTCTTCATACTCCCTTAGCTACTGAGCTCTTGTAAGAGCTCTTGTTCCTGATCCTGCTTCGCTCTACAGAAGGAAGAGGTTCACCTACTGGAGCCTGGTCGTAGGTCCAGGGCACAGAGCAGATGGTGAGATACCAGCCCAGCAGCGGTGGTTCGTTGAGTCTGCAGTACTTATGGTGTCTACGGTGCTGATGGTCCTTTGAGCGCTAGGAGCATCCTTTCTACGGTCCAACTTCCAGCCAGCCTGGAGGCAACCGTAACAATGACAATTTTCAGTTCTTTACATCCTATAAAGTGTTTTGAAACTTACTGTGCGGAATAATTTGGAACAGTGCATTGTAAGTTTTTTATGTTTAAAAAAAATACTGTTATCATTAGGAGGTTTGTTCAATAAAATTTGAATTGTACTCTTAATAGTTGATAACATGAGAATTATGCTGACTTATTTACATCAATTATTTAGGTAAATGAGAAAAATATCATTTGGAACAGGGTGTACATACACTGACGCATACACACACACGTTGACCCATACAGACACACACTGATCCATACACATACGTTCACACTGACCCCCCACCCCCTACACATACACACACTGACCCATACACACAAACAGACCTACACATACACACTGACCCATGCAGACACATGCTGACCCATACACAGACCGATACATACATACACTGACCCACCCACACACACACTGACCCATGAAGACACACAGAGACCCATACACACACCTATACACACACACACACAGTCCCATACATACACAAACAGACCCATACATATACACACAGTCCCATACATACACAAACATACTGACACACATTCTATGAAACACACTGCGCGTTCTAGCTTACCTACATTGCACTTTGCTCTTCATTCCTGGCTTCTTTACTGTGCCCAGTGGCCGTCACTTTTTTCCCAAGCCCCATTTCTTGTTATTCTCCCGCCCCCTTGTCCCCACGTACAGGGCAAGGGGTGGGAGCGAGTGAATGACAAGCCCTTGGGCTGCCGCGATGCTTGATTGGGAGAGGGCTGTGGTGAATGCCGGACTGACGTTCTACTGGGCGTTAGTCTACAAGTGCTCCCTAGCGCCTGATAATGTGGCCACCGGCCACCGTGGCCCTCTTTATATAATCAATCCCAATTGATAGGGGGGGCGGCCAGACAAGCAATAAGGCCACTGCTGGCGCACCTCTAAGCAGGTGCCCTAGGCGGCCGCCTACTTAGTCTATAGGACGCGCCGACCCTGGGGTGAAGACCTCTCTAGAAACTGCAATATTTACACTGCAGGGTTAAATCCACCTCTGGTGGTGACCATATTGAAAATGTGGTCACGTGACACTGAAGACCCAATAGGAAAGCTTGGATGTGCGTGAGGCACTCCCCACGCATGCACATCAGGTCCCCAATGAGCATTGCATTGGGCCAATTAGAGGTAAGTAGCAAGGGAGCCTTGCTGCTGGGAAAAGGTAAGTATCTTTTATCTTCGTCATTTTTCATGCACGATCGGGGGGGGGGTGAAGCCGCTGAACTGAGAGCTTAGACGACTCTGAGAATTCTCCCAGTTTGGATTATTTGGCCTTAAATGTGAAATTTACTGTGAATTCACAATTCTCACTCTAGTGAATAATCCTACCGGTGATTTGGAGCAATCACCATGACAACCATTTAAATGTTCCTGCAGACAGACTGCATCGGGTTCAGTACTTTGCCATATGCGTCATGTCTGACTAAGTAAATATTGCAGGAAGTAACAAAGTGTCACCTCAACCTGGGCACAGTCACAGGAGCAAAGGGACATCACAAATATACAAACACAAAGCCAATTAATATACACAGACAGTGATGGCAGGGCACACAGGGGGCAGTGATGGTTGGGCACACAGGGGGCAGTGATGGTTGGGCACACAGGGGGCAGTGATAGTTGGGCACACAGGGTGCATTGATGGTAGGGCACACAGGGGGCAGTGATGGCACTGTGGGGGGGCAGTTAAAGAGCACACTGTGGGGGCAGTTAGAGGGCACACTGTGTGGGGGGCAGTTAGAGGGCACACTGTATGTTGGGGGGTAGAGGGCACACTGTATGTTGGGGGTAGAGGGCATACTGTGTGGGGGCAGTTAGAGGGCATACTGTGTGGGGGGCAGTTAGAGGCACACTGTGTGTTGGGGGGCAGTTAGAGGGAACACTGTGTGTTGGGGGCAGTTAGAGGGAGCACACTGTGTGTGGGGGCAGTTAGAGGAGCACACTGTGTGTTGGGGGCAGTTAGGGGCACACTGTGTGTGTGTGTGTGGGGGGGTAGATACTATAGGGTAATAGATTCAATGCCACCTCCAAGATGGCCGCCAGGATTGTCCAGGGACGTTCGGGGGGCGTGGCTTCATGTCGTACAGGGCGTGGTTTCAGGAGAGTAAAAGCTGCCCTTCCTGCCATGTGCTGACTGCATTGACTGATCCCAGGCAGACAGCACCATGTCCCAGGTACCGGCCCGGGGGCCATGAGCTGGGCAGGGAGGCCTGGCTGGGAGTGATGGGGGCCATGAGCTGGGCAGGGAGGTCTGGCTGGGAGTGATGGGGTTATTGGTATTGGGGGGAGTGATGGGGTTATTGGTATGGGGGAGTGATGGGGGTTATTGGTATGGGAGACCTGGCTGGGAGTGGTGGGTGTTATTGGTATTGGGGGGAGACCTGGCTGGGAGTGGTGGGTGTTATTGGTATTGGGGGAGACCTGGCTGGGAGTGGTGGGTGTTGTGGTATTGGGGGAGACCTGGCTGGGAGTGGTGGGTGTTATTGGTATTGGGGGAGACCTGGCTGGGAGTGATGGGGGTTGTGGTGTTATTGGGGGAGGCCTGGCTGGGAGTGATGGGGGTTATTGGTATTGGGGGGGAGACCTGGCTGGGAGTGATGGGTGTTATTGGTATTGGGGGGGAGACCTGGCTGGGAGTGATGGGGGTTATTGGTATTGGGGGGGGAGGCCTGGCTGGGAGTGGTGAGGTTGTTGGTATAGAAGTAGGCCTGATTGCCAGTACCGTGGGTTTAACATGCTCTATAGTGTTTGCAGTGTTTTAATATCTTGTACATGGTGTGATTCTTCCAAACAGCAGAAGGTATCTTCATTCTCAAAATGTATCCCCTTGCTACAATCTGTCACCTGACTTCGCTGCTTAACCCCTGGCTCACTGTGCCGCAGTGGCACCGCCGCTTATCCCCTGGCTCACTGTGCCGCAGTGGCACCGCCGCTTATCCCCTGGCTCACTGTGCCGCAGTGGCACCGCCGCTTATCCCCTGGCTCACTGTGCCGCAGTGGCACCGCCGCTTATCCCCTGGCTCACTGTGCCGCAGTGGCACCGCCGCTTATCCCCTGGCTCACTGTGCCGCAGTGGCACCGCCGCTTAACCCCTGGCTCACTGTGCCGCAGTGGCACCGCCGCTTATCCCCTGGCTCACTGTGCCGCAGTGGCACCGCCGCTTAACCCCTGGCTCACTGTGCCGCAGTGGCACCGCCGCCTAACCCCTGGCTCACTGTGCCGCAGTGGCTCACTGTGCCGCAGTGGCTCTGCCGCTAACCCCTGGCTCACTGTGCCGCAGTGGCTCTGCCGCCTAACCCCTGGCTCACTGTGCCGCAGTGGCTCTGCCGCCTAACCCCTGGCTCACTGTGCCGCAGTGGCTCTGCCGTGGCTCACCCCTGGCTCACTGTGCCGCACCGCCTGGCTCACTGTGCCGCAGTGGCCTCCCCTGGCTCACTGTGCCGCAGTGGCACCGCCGCTTACCCCTGGCTCACTGTGCCGCAGTGGCACCGCCGCTTATCCCCTGGCTCACTGTGCCGCAGTGGCACCGCCGCTAACCCCTGGCTCACTGTGCCGCAGTGGCTCTGCCGCCTAACCCCTGGCTCACTGTGCCGCAGTGGCTCTGCCGCTTAACCCCTGGCTCACTGTGCCGCAGTGGCTCTGCCGCTTAACCCCTGGCTCACTGTGCGCAGTGGCTCTGCCGCTTAACCCCTGGCTCACTGTGCCGCAGTGGCTCTGCCGCCTAACCCCTGGCTCACTGTGCCGCAGTGGCTCTGCCGCCTAACCCCTGGCTCACTGTGCCGCAGTGGCACCGCCGCCTAACCCCTGGCTCACTGTGCCTCAGTGGCTCTGCCGCCTAACCCCTGGCTCACTGTGCCGCAGTGGCTCTGCCGCCTAACCCCTGGCTCACTGTGCCGCAGTGGCTCTGCCGCTTAGATTCCTTCACCGCTGTGTTTTCCTTTTTGCACACTGATACTGGGAGGAGGCTCTGTAGACTGTATTATTGGTCAGTTCTCTGTCCCCACTGTGGTACCCCCACCCTGGGGCAATGTAGGCATTTTATTACAAGTCTATTTGTTGGGAAGGTTGAACCATTATGGTGTGATTTTGTTTTATCGGCAGGCATCCCACCTGGCTGTCACGTTGAACTTTTAAAATTATTAAAGTGCTGATTTATATCTAATTTTGGTTCGTTTATGAAATGAGACAAAGGGGGACATGCGGTTAATACCTAAAGCAATTCAGTAATCTTAAGTGTCCTTGTAAAAAATGCTATTGACACTCCACTGCCAAAAATGATCACTGCTTCATATATCTCTCTATCTCACACACCACCACCACCACCACGCGCTGCTGGATTCTCTAACCGTGCAATCTCTGTTCTCTCTGCAGGCTGAGTTTGACCAAGCTGCCAGCGATGTTAAGAAGTTGAAGAGCACGCCTTGTGACAGCGACATGTTGGCGTTATACGGCCTGTACAAGCAGGGAACTTGTGGAGACGTTAACACCGGTAGCTATAGCAGGGCCACACCTTTCTAGAAATGTGTGGGTGTGTTTTTTTTGTTTTGTTTTGTTTTGTTTTTTAGACTTGTCTGGGTTTTTTTTGTTGTTTTTCCCCTCCAATTTAGAATCATTGTTTACTGTATGCGAGACTGGTTAATGCCACCTGCTGCATTGGAACATGGCTGTCTTCATCCGGTTATTATACAAGTGATTTAAAATGGATTCATTATGAACCAATAATACTCTGCTTTCTGTTCTTTCTTCTCCAGAGAGACCGGGAATGTTTGACTTGAAAGGAAAAGCAAAGTGGGACGCTTGGGCAGCAAAGAAAGGTATGGACTGCGGTGGTACCTCTCTCCCTCCCAGTGGGGACCGCGGCGGTACCTCTGCCCCTCCCAGTACTAGGCGTTTGGGTGTAAGTTTGCCAGATAGCCAGCTCGACTAACTGTACCTCTGGGGGGGTGACTCGTCCTTATATCACTCAGGCTCTGTTTCCCTGGGCTTACTGGGGCTCTTGGTTTAAGAATCCGTGACGCCCTGGGTACTTTGCAGTTTGCCCACTATAAGGACCTTAACATGCGCATTTTTTTTTTTTTCCACAGGAGTCTCCAATGCCGACGCGATGGTGCAATACATTAAACTGGTTGAGGAATTCAAAGGAAAATATGGATTTTGATAAAACTGCTTTTCTGGCTGATACACCGGCTTAAAATGTGCTCCGCCTTGAGCGCAGTCTGTAATACTGTAACCCTGCAATCATTAGACCACCGTGGCTGTTTTTTAATTAAATCTTGTAACTAACCATTTCTTGTTTTTGGGTGATTTATTGTATGAGAAACTGCTCTGTACGCAGGCTGCGTCCGGGTCTATTGAGTAATGACGACAGATCTGTAAGATCTACTTTAATGTGTAAAGGAATGAATCTGGGAATGGTCTTATGACGGACTGCCTTCCTTTCATGGTTGTTCAGGTAGCACATGTGTAAAACCATGTCAGACGATAGCTCACATAGGGGATGCGTATCGCAACTTGTTATAAGAGACCATTGACAGGACTACACGTTTTCACGAACGCTGCATTAATAACGTGCAATATTTCGTTACAGTGACCCTTAATAAAAAGGTGCTAATAATATTCTATATAAGCAGATGTGGGTTTATTGGGTTATAATAAAATAAATACAGGGAGTGAGACTAACATTTCTCAAAGTTAAACTTTCAGGTCTGTACCACATGGCTAAACGTTCCAGGAATATATAACTTGAAAATGCTGCCTTAGGAAGTAGTTATGGTTTGTGCCACTAAATAAAAACCATTGCCACTGTGTGCCCCGAGGAAACACATCTAGGAGCACTGTACGTGTAGAATGTACACTCACAGCAGGGGTGCGGGGGCTGGTGGAGAACAGGATATTACTTGGGGAACCGAGATAAAAAGTATTATTAAAGGGGCACTATAGTCACCAGAACCACTGCAGCATGATTCCACTCCACACAAAGGGTAAGAATGTCAATTGCTCCCCTGCAACAAATGAGAACAAACCTGAATACAAGTAGACTTTCATTTGAGATATCGAGGCAGACTATTCGACGATAACCTGTGCCTAACCGGAGGTGTGAGTCATTAACTCCTCCAATGACAGGTAGAGCAGTTTAGGTAAGTGAGTGGTCGTGTCCCATTTATCCCTTCGTCCAAGACATGGGTACCAATTCCAGAAGATCTGTGTGAGGTGGATAGAGAGCGTGGTGTCATGGAAAGTCTAAGTGACCACGCCGTCCTGGCAGACGTCTCTGGCCCCAGGTTACTTAGTGGGAAGACATCCACCTTTAACGTCAGAGGTGGCACCTCCAGGTTTCTGGTGCAGGTGAGACGAGCTAGTGACTGGCGGAGGAAGTAAAATGGGGTGCCCAATAATTCACAGCAATGGTGTCCATGTTGTAAGAAGAGATCGCTGGTAGAATGGAGCTGTTAATTCTCTTTTCAAGCTAGCTTACAATCCGCACTGTTCCTTGCAATCAGTGACATCAGTTTATTGTATTTCGCTAGCAGTGTTAATGCAAGGTTTTATTCTGAGGCAATCTACCCTTAGGCTGACCACAGCAGCGTGACGTAAAATGGTTATTTAATGAGAACCTGCCTCAAAACTCATCCAGGTCCCTGGAGCAAGACGTGCTGGTGTCCATCTTCATTAGGACAGCCTTGTAACTGTGTTTAGCGACCAGCTGCTACTCATTACTATGTCTGTCACTACTGTTGGTGAATAGCGACTGGAGTTACTGGGACCTGATACTGAAAGGCCGTGCTGTGTTGTGGCTAATGGCTCCTATTTTCTGTGGAAGCTGCTAAACTCTACATAGAAACATAGAATGTGACGGCAGATAAGAACCATTCGGCCCATCTAGTCTGCCCAATTTTCTAAAAACTTTCATTAGTCCCTAGTCTTATCTTATAGTTAGGATAGCCTTATGCCTATCCCACGCATGCTTAAACTCCTTTACTGTGTTAACCTCTACCACTTCAGCTGGAAGGCTATTCCATGCATCCACTACCCTCTCAGTAAAGTAATACTTCCTGATATTATTTTTAAACCTTTGTCCTTCTAATTTAAGACTATGTCCTCTTGTTGTGGTAGTTTTTCTTCTTTTAAATATAGTCTCCTCCTTTACTGTGTTGATTCCCTTTATATATTTAAATGTTTCTATCATATCCCCCCTGTCTCGTCTTTCCTCCAAGCTATACATGTTATCCTTTAACCTTTCCTGGTAAGTTTTATCCCGCAATCCATGAACCAGTTTAGTAGCCCTTCTCTGAACTCTCTCTAAGGTATCAATATGAAGATACAGTTTCCGGTACTGCGTACAATACTCCAAGTGAGGTCTCACCAGTGTTCTGTACAATGGCATGAGCACTTCCCTCTTTATACTGGTAATACCTCTCCCTATCCAACCAAGCATTCTGCTAGCATTTCCTGCTGCTCTATTACATTGTCTGCCTACCTTTAAGTCATCAGAAATAATCACCCCTAAATAGCGACCAGCAGAGCCAGATTTCTAATCGGAGAGAGTAGGCACCTACATATAGGCCCATGCCTAGCATGGGTGCTGTAGGTGCTTTTACTGGTGCTCAGCTAGTTCGGGTTATGAATGTGTTTCTCTAGTGAGTGTGCGGTTCAGGTAGTGTAACAATTAACTCTCCATATTCCAGTTTAGATTCTCTCCCCCGTGGTCTAGTTTAGATTATCTCCCCTGTGTTCCAGTTTAGATTTGTCTCCCCGTGTTCCAGTTTAGTTACTTTCCCCCGTGTTCCAGTTTAGATTCTCTCCCCCTTGTTTCAGTTTAGATTATCTCCCCTGTGTTCTAGTTTAGTTTCTCTCCCCTGTCCCAGTTTAGGCAGTCTCTCACACAGTCCTCCCTCCTCCCTGTGCAGTGCTGCTGATTCAGCGAGTTCTGCTCCCAGCCCATGTCATTTGCAGATAATGTCTGTCCCACAGAGGACTTTACTCTGCCATTAGCTACAGAAGCGAGCACTCGACATGGCTGCCATATCGGTGCAGGTAAGAGCCTGGGACTGTTAACCCATTCACAGCTAGGGGGACAAACAGACTAGAGGGTGATGTAACAGAGGAGGGTGATGGAACCGAGGAGGGTGATGGGTGATGGAACAGAGGAGGGTGATGGAACCGAGGAGGGTGCTTGGTGATGGAACCAAGGAGGGCACCGGGTGGTGGAACATCACTACATATATACATTCCACATTGCAACACACTGAATCACTGCATCATGTACCCGATTATATTCCTGATTTCGGCAGGACAGTCCTGATTTCCAATTATCCCAGGTTTCTTTAGGAAACTGTCCCCAAAAGTTACAGTGAGTTAATCATTAGACAGAGCTACACTTCAGGCATTCGGACCATGCAGAAGTCACTGAAACAACGCGCCTTCCAAGTCCTCCCCGTGTTCCAGTTTAGATTTGTCTCCCAGTGTTCCGGTTTAGATTTGTCTCCCCGTGTTCCGGTTTAGTTTGTCTCCCTGTGTTCCAGTTTATGTTTGTCTCCCCGTGTTCCAGTTTAGATTTGTATCCCTGTGTTCCAGTTTAGATTTGTCACCCCCGTGTTCCAGTTTAGGTTTGTCTCCCCCGTGTTCCAGTTTAGATTTGTCTCCCCGGTATTGCAGTTTAGATTTGTCTCCCCCGTGTTCCAGTTTAGATTTGTATCCCCGTGTTCCGGTTTCGTTTGTCTCCCCGTGTTCCAGTTTCGTTTGTCTCCCCGCGTTCCAGTTTAGATTTGTCTCCCCGCGTTCCAGTTTAGATTTGTCTCCCCACGTTCCAGTTTAGATTTGTCTCCCTGCGGTCCAGTTTAGATTTGTCTCCCTGCGGTCCAGTTTAGATTTGTCTCCCCGCGTTCCAGTTTAGTTTGTCTCCCCGTGTTCCAGTTTAGATTCTCTCACAGTGTTCCAGTTTAGATTTGTCTCCCCATGTTCCAGTTTAGACTCTCTCCCAGTGTTCCAGTTTAGATTTGTATCCCCGTGTTCCAGTTTAGTTTGTCTCCCCGTGTTCCATTTTAGATTTGTCTCCCCGCGTTCCAGTTTAGTTTGTCTCCCCCGTGTTCCAGTTTAGATTTGTCTCCCCGCGTTCCAGTTTAGATTTGTCTCCCCGCGTTCCAGTTTAGATTTGTCTCCCTGCGTTCCAGTTTAGTTTGTCTCCCGTGTTCCAGTTTAGATTCTCTCCCAGTGTTCCAGTTTAGATTTGTATCCCCGTGTTCCAGTTTAGTTTGTCTCCCCCGTTTTCCAGTTTAGATTTGTCTCCCATTGTTCCAGTTTAGGTTTGCCTCCCTGCGTTCCAGTTTAGATTTGTCTCCCCGTGTTCAGGTTTAGGTTTGTTTCCCTGTGTTCCAGTTTAGATTTGTCTCCCTGCGTTCCAGTTTAGTTTGTCTCCCCGCGTTCCATTTTAGTTTGTCTCCCCGTGTTCCAGTTTAGATTTGTCTCCCAGTGTTCCAGTTTAGATTTGTCTCCCCGTGTTCCAGTTTAGATTTGTCTCCCCGTGTTCCAGTTTAGTTTGTCTCCCCGTGTTCCAGTTTAGATTCTCTCCCCCATGTTCCAGTTTAGTTTGTCTCCCCGTGTTCCAGTTTAGTTTGTCTCCCCGTGTTGCAGTTTAGTTTGTCTCCCCATGTTGCAGTTTAGTTTGTCTCCCCGTGTTCCTGTTTAGTTTGTCTCCCCCGTGTTCCAGTTTAGTTTGTCTCCCCGTGTTCCAGTTTAGTTTGTCTCCCCGTGTTCCAGTTTAGTTTGTCTGCCTGTGTGGTGTATCACCAAACTCTATAAATTATTATGTACGCATACACAAATAAACTCTGGTCCGTCTACTTTAACAAATATTTATTCAGAGACAAAACAACAACAACATACAAATAATGACACACAATCTAACTAACTATACCACCAACAACAGCAACAACAACCTAACTAACAATAACAACTACACCTTATAAAATCCCACTCACAGTTCACCATGATAGAAACTAGGCCATGTCTGCTTAAGGGACTGCTCAGTAGCACAGCCAAGAAGGAACAGAGAGGAATGGAGATAGGGGGAAGTGGTTATCTCTTTCCTGACTAGTAAAGGTATCGAATTACCAATTAACATTTCAAAAGGGTAAAGCTTATCCCACTGTAAGAGCTTGGTCACATGATCCCTGGTCACCATATTAGTTTGATGACAGAATGTCACCACATTCCCTCACTTTTTTTTCTCTTATGTTGAGCACATTTAAAAGTGAGAGAATATAGTCAAACAGGGGTTGCATCACCCCACATTCCCCCAATTTCAATTGTTTTCAGTTGTTCCGTTTTTAAATTAACCACTGCCCAAGTGGGTTGGTAAGAACCCTGGTA